GCGGCCCCAGTGACCGCAGGCAGTGGGATTAAGGCTGCCGAGAGGCGCATACTGCCAGTCAGGTCCCTGGGAGATGCGAGAGGCCCGGAGCTCTGTGGGTGCGTCCAGTGTCCCATCAGGGATCCTTAGGGATGGCAGAGGGAGGCAGCCAGCCGGTGCCTCCTGAGAGCTGGCCAGAGTCCCTGCTGGTTTGGAGGAGGATGGCCACGAGCCAGCACTGCGGGGGGCCTCTGGGGCGGGAAAAGTCAGGGGAGATGTTCTGGTTGGAGCTTCCAGGGGAGCTGCCCCGCCTTCATGTTTGTTTCATCTGGTGAGAACCATCTCGTCTTCTGATATAGAAAACCACTAAATAGTGAATTTGAGCGAGGTGTGGTGGTACAGCGTCTAATCCCAGCACTCTGGGAGGCTGAAGCAGGAGGGTCACATGTTTGAGCCCAGCCTGGGCAACTTAGTGGCGTGGCAAGACCCTGTCTCAAAATAATAAAAAGGGCTGGAGATGTAGCTCAGTGCCAAAGCCCTGGGTTCAATCCCTAATACTTAAGAAAAACCCTGGATATATAAAATAATAAATTTACATTGTCTTGAGTCGCTGAATTTGTTAGAATGTGTTAGTTTGTGTGCGGGAAATTCATACAATCTTTAAAGGGCCTTTAAGTCAGGACTTTATATAGACCCCGTAGCGGTGTCACAAAACTCAATCCCCAGCACCAGCAGGTACACAGAAGACACAACAGACTCCGGCCGAAAACCATAGTGTTACGTGACATTCAGACGCTTTGTGTTCTATTGTTTCTCCTTCATGTACATGAAGTTTAACAAAAGAGCTCAGGGAATTTGTTTCAGAGCTTCACCCACATGGTCACACGCAGACCAAGGTGAAGGTCCTCACACCCCCTCAGGCCCAGCCCAGCCTGACAGTGCCGAGGCTCCCAGCAACCGCTGTTCATTTCACCTGCTCCAGAGTCTTCACTGGCAAGGTCACGTGTATTGCTCTGCTGTGTCTGTTCTTATCCATGCATCCACCCGCCCACCCACCCACCC